TGAGACGCCTCGTTCTCTTCCTCTTTGTTCGACGTTCTGCGTTCTTTTAGAAGACGTTGTTTGATAATGATTCAATAGTTAAATTTGCGTATGGAATATTATCAAAGTTCTAGGAAGAAAGAAAGAAAATAATTACGGTGACACAGAAAAATACTGATCTAAAGTTGTTTTCTAAACGATGCCTATCTCCTCGAAAAGATGCATTATTTGAAAATGAAAACATTATCTAATATTTTCATTTGCCTTAATACATACAACGCGTTTATTAGATTTAAAACAATTTTAAAACTGTTCAATTCTATACTTACTAAAACATTATTGCATATTTTCCTGAACTTTGCAAACTAATAAATAGTAATATTTATTGAGTTTTTGAAACGAATGCTCATAAGAATATTTTTGTAAATGTAGTAGTGCCAAGTTTTCGTACATTGCCGAAACAGCCTCGTTGATCCCGCACGATTTTCATTGACGTGCATGAATAACGAGGCTTTCGGTTGTAAATCGGGCGCCCGCCAGTAAAAACCTCTTCGCAGGAGCGTTCCCGCCCTCCTCCTCCTCTCCGGCGAGCCGCCTGTGAGGACGCAAAAGCCGCCGCTTCCGCTTCTTCTCGGCCGCTCCCGGCGCCGCGGCGCGCGCTGGCCACTGCAGGCGGTCCAGCACCTGCCGCCCGCCGCCGCCGCCTCCCCCGCCACTCGCGTCGCCTCGCCTGTGCGGGCTAATAGCCGCCACTTCACATGGCGCCTTCAAGCGCTCCCTCCCGCCCTAACCCCTCCGCCCGCCCGCCCCCGCCCCGCCGCTGCGGCCACCCTCTTCGCCACCGCGGCGCTGCAGCCCCACACATAGCGCGCTCCTCCCCTCCAAACTCAGCGTTACTTCTGTTTCATTCAGGAATCAACTCCGTTTCAATCAGTCTCATAGAATTAAGATATATCCTACGTTTCTTTCAGTTCCAAAACATGCCAAGGGGATGGCAAGTTATTTTATAAGCTATCGCCCAATCAATGAAGCTTGACACTTCAGACTGAAGCAATATATTTACGGATATTTAGTTTTATTTAAAGTAATCTGGAAGAAGCATAGCTCAAAACTAGCTGTCAATACTACCTTTAAGTCTTCGTATATTTCTTCGGCTTCTTCTTTCTCGCAATATTCATGTCTCTAAAGATGCCAATCAGGATATCCATAATTCATTCCTCTTCCTACTTCCCTTTCCATTCCCTCTCATCCGCCTTCCGGGCACTTCAAAATGGTCGCGCGTCACCGCTCCAGCTCCTTTCGCCGCATGCGGTGGTCCCGCTAATTCACGTTCCTCCCAGATGTGCGGAGCCGAGCAAAAATAAGCGTTTTAACTTGTGCCGCGCCGCCCGCGCGCCACGCCGCGCCGCCCGCGCCATTAGCGAAAACTTGCCACCCCGCGTGGCCCTCCCATTGCGGCGCCCTTGCCGACCGCATCGTGCCGCCCCGAGGCTCTTTTGCCGACGCACTGCGCGGAATTCTAACTCGGTGGTTGTCTTGTTGCATTATACACTCGTTGAGGTTTTGGAAGTGATATTATTCTTTGATTATTCTATTATTGACGAAAAGTCGAATACTGCCTTGAAAGATTTTGATTACCATTATAATTAGTTTAATTTATTGTACAGTAGCTAACCATATCAGTGCAAATTCAACATTATCGTTCTGAATGTTAAACTAAAGAACAAATAATAAATAATATTAATAATAATAATACATATAATATAATTATAATTTAATGTTATTATATTTATTTAAAAAGTCTTTATACCAAAGAACTTCGTTCATCGAAAATGATGATATGTTTTAAGTTCACTTTTGATGATTTCCAAAGTCTCACCAAAGTAGATAATGTACCTTCATTTTTATAAGTTCACACTATTATTTCTTATTTATGCCCAAATTCTAATCAATAAAATGCTTGAAAATGTCTACATTCTACAAATATTTAATAAAATTGCCTTGCTTATTCAACTCCTGCATACATTTCTGATAACTAGCTGTAAATTGCTGCATATTCAAAAACACTACATTAGTACGTCTTTTCCCAATGCGCGCGCAACTATTATTTGACCGTTAAAGAAAGGAAAAGATACGGTTAAAAGATAGGAAGGGGCACTGATTTTGCCGATGTGCTAGATATGCAATGCGTGCGTTTGCTTTCGGAAAACGCCCGCGCCAAACGCACGCGCGTTACGTGCGGAGCCGCGCGGCGGCTCTGGCAAACGCGCTGCCGCACTCGCCGCACAACGCGCTTCACAAAGGCGCGCTCCCGCCGCCGCCGGCGGGCGTGGCCATCGTGTTCAGCGCCGATTAAGTGCCAGCAAAAGACTTCTCTTTGCTGAATTGCGAATCGTATTAATTCGCATCCTACTCTTGCTGGGGCACGACAGCGCGCGCTCTGTTCAGCCGATTCGGTCGATTAAAGCATAATCATCCATCAAGCGCTGGCCACTATCGCGTCTCGCTTCAAACGCTGCCTGCCGCCTGCGCTGCGCCGCCCCGCCCCGCGCCCCCTCAAATCCCCGCCCCCTCAAATCCCCGCCACCCCAACAGCTCCACACCGACCCGCCCTTGGCCCCGCGCCCTCCTTCGTTGCTCCACCCCACCGCTGCCCTCGCCACCGCCCCGCCATCACGACGCGCCGTGCTGCACCGAGCCATCCACGCACCGTCCGCCGTGCTTACCCTTATCGCAAGCTCCTTCCCCCACCTCACCACCGCTAACGCTGTCCCTTAACGGGCCTTACAGGCTTGTTGCAACAAGGATTTGAGCATATTCTTACACGTTTCGAATGATATGCGACAGACTTCGGAGAATTCCTAATTGATGGCAATCACGATACTTCCCAATGCTACTTTTTAGAACGTCTTTGAAACACAGATGGATACGCATGAAAAAACTTCTAGGACGAAACAAATCGACCCAGGTATGAGTGTCATCCTACCCTCTATCACCGCTAATTCACACCCCTTTCCCCCTCTCCGTCTGTTCCACATCACATCATTCCGTTTTCATTCTCTCCACAGTTTCCACTGACCAGCTGTCCAGCTTCCACTCCCGCACAGCTCGAATCAAGCCCAGAGGCGTTAGCATAATCGCGTAAATTTGTTTTTCTCAGGTTGCCACCCGACGCAGAACTGTTGCCGGGTCACGTGAGGGCTCATTAGGTCCTGCGGTTAGCGGTGCCGGGCCTTCCCTAATTGGCGAGCGCTGCCGACAGCCCCGACAGTGGGCGGCGGTGACGGGCGTGCCGTTTTTATCGGAACGAAATAACCGCCATAGAAACACGATGCCTAATTGGAGGCGCTAGCGACAAACCGATATATAAAACCAGCATCCACACGGACTAGCTTTTATCGTGACAGATCACTATGGAAACGATGTGTTAAACCCGAGCTGTTTTGAATATCAAATCACATGTGATGACCAGGGTGTAAAATTGTCGGTGTGGATGGACACAACAGGACACCATTCGGTAAATCTCTATGCTAATTTTTATCGATTAGTAATGTAATGAACATGTTATTTTAAATATCCATGAAAATTTTAAAGCAGGCGTAGAAAGGGGACAATAGTGTTACAAGCATTTAGTATATTACTCGAGTAATGTAATGAGCCTGGTGCTAATATGACAACTGATAATTATTCATACGTCATTCCACCCACTTTTTATACTTCCGCGGTTTCGGGAATATCTACTTAAATGATCAACCCACATTAATTCTCCAATTTATTTTTAATTTGTCTCTACAAGAATCAGTAAATCCCGACAATCCATATCCCCTGACGGCAATCACGCTCGCTCTGTTATTCCGATTACTGTGTGTTTGTCAACACGTCCATCCTCTGACTCTGGCGTTTTGTTGTTTAGTCACAACATCCTCAAATCTGAAAAAAATAAGTACGAAATCGCCATTCTATTTGTATCCAATGAACACCACTGTTTTGACTTCTGTGCAAGAACGATTATTGTGATGGCTTGATGAAGAAAAACTCAACGATCATTTACTTAATGAAGTACTTCCTTTTACCTTTCCATAAAATGTTGACACATTGCTGTGCAAGAATTGTGCGGCCTGGGACAATACTTTTTTTTAAATAAAATATTGAGCAATTGGAGAGAGGTAAATAATTTAAATTTTCTCAAAAAATAATTGAGGCATCCAGTGAGAGGAGCTATCCACAAAATTCGAAAAACATGTTAATTACAGAACATTATCAATGTGTTCATTCAATATGGAAATACGATCACAAATCCCCTTGGGTGCCTCCCTTTAGAATAATGCTTATGGGTGAAAATTAGGTCCGTAAAACCCTTGGGAAGAGTTCACGATTCACCCAGACCATGCCATTTCTCCATATGTTTTTCTCCAAATCTCCTGGCCCCCGTGCGAAGACCAAAATGCCGGCGCCGCGAAGCCGGCGCGGGCGCGGCTGACGGATGCGGCGCGCGGATCGCATAACGCACTCACCCGCGTGGTCGTCCCGCTTGCGCTTGGTGATGGAGGTTGCCGTTGGGCGCCTGCGACCTGCGGGATGCCCAGATCCGGTTGATGCTATAGGCCCGGGGCGGCTGCGGTCGGTGGGTGCGCCACGGAGGAGGCGGGCGCGTGCGTGATGACGAGACGGAGCCGGCGCCCGCGCCGCCCGCGAGGCTGCCGCCGCCGCCGCCGCCGCTCGACGCGGGCCGTGCCGGCCGAGGCCGCCGCCACGCGCCGCCCTGCCGCCGCCCCGTCGCCGCCTGCTGCCCGCCGCCGCCGCGCTGCGCCTGCGCTGCTGGTGCACGTGCTTCGCCTTCTCCGCCGCCTTGTTGCGCACGATCCTGCGGACAAGCACGCCTTTAGGAAAAAATCTTTCACTCACTCCGATCCACTCCTGGTGTTGCTTTGAACAGAAAAGAATATTGGCAAAAACACGGCATAAAATGAGTACATTCCATTCTTAGATCACGAACATGTTTCATTTCTTCACTCACTCTCTTTTACTCGTTCGTCACTCATAAAATCACTTTTTCATTCATTATTTCATTCACTTATTTCATTCATTTACTCATTCATTCACTCTTTCAATCGGTATTTTACAGCGCATTCTACGTATGAGATTTAAAATAACCTGTGAGTAATACAACTATTTTGCAATGTAATGAAGCAGTTCAACGAAATGTCTCTCGTAATTTGTTTTTCTGTTACTGCTTACTTCGTCTGCAATGCTTCTTAAAAGAACAACAATCTATTAAATCTTGTAGTACGCCTTAAGTGCCGCAACTACACAACGCACGAACGTATGAGTGGTTGCCGTGTGACGGCGCAAACGATCTTTACTCTAACCAGTTGATTGCTACATCTGGCTTGTGCATCGTGTCAGCAAGCGAAGGGCGAAGAACATCACTCATTTTCATTTTTTTAAAAAATATTTTTTAGTTCTTAATGATATAAAGAAAGACTAACGATTAAAATCTATTTGAATAGCAGTCAAGTTAGTCGCCAACTCGGCGTTGTCTTGTTTTTATACCTACAAATAACTTTATTCTATAAGGCGTTTCTTTTTGAAATTGTCAGTCTTAATTCACTACCTCTCTACATTCACAACGGTCATAATCACGCCCACTCACGACCACATCTCCATCAGAACCATTTTCCCGGACACCACCACTTCCTTCGCAGGCGTCGCCGGTTAACTCTATCATCGAATTACTTCATCACACGCCGTCACCACACATCGACCGCAACCGCAGCCACTTCCTGCCCGGTCCGCAAACCCTGCGCGCGCCCACCGCGAATCGAACCGTGCGCGCCTGCCCCCGCGCCGCCGCCGCCGCCGCCGCCGCCGCCACGAGAGATTAATGACGAGGCGCACCCCCGCGCACGCGTCGCAGCCGAGGGCCACCCCATTCACGCGGCCCCGACAAAGACGCCCTGATCGCGGTCATTACAAATAAACGAGCGCGCCGCCCCGCCCCGCCCCTCCTCGCGAGTCGCGTGTCCCGCCCCCATCCCCACTCGCCCGCTGGGGAGGGGTGGGAAGCGCCCGCGCCCCTCGCGCGCACGGCCGCCTGACTCAAACGCATTAACTCGTGCTGAGTGGGTGGCGGCCCCCGTCAAGTAGCCGGATTATTGCTTAAGGCGATGCAGTCAACACTTGAAGACCTAGGGAATCCCTGATGGAAACACATGTTTGGGGGTTCGATAACGTCGAATTAATAGTCGACGTTTGCAGAATGCCGATCAAAATTTGCTTATTAGGAAATACAATGGCAGAAATATTTAGTTGTGGCATCTAAAAATATAGTACTATTAATATAAAAAAGATATAATTATCTGCATAATCCTTACCAGATTCGATTGTAATATTTGTGACCGAATATTATGAAATTGAAAAGTTTTCATCGCCAACATTCTCTGTGGGAAAATTCCAAACTTATTTTACGGAAATAGAATTGACTAACAAAATGTTCAATGTTAAAGAATTTAACAATTTTTGATAATTTTTATTTTTCATTTAATGCGTCGTGCCAATGAGGTTATCGCCTATTCTTATGAGGGAAGGGAAAGATGCCGTCTAGAAACACGCGTTCGATCGCATCGAATTCGGAGGCCGCGCGGGGGCGGGAGCGGGGGGCGCCGGCGAAGGCAGAGGCTGGCCCGGGCAAGGGGCGAGTCAGGGACCCACGGGGGCGGCTGACCGCGTGGCCTCCGCACTAAGTGAAAGCGGCACACGTGAGGCTGGGTGGTGCCGGTTTGATGCAACGCGGGCGGCGGGGGTAGGACGGAGCAAGGACGCGCGGGCGGGGCGGCAGTGGTGGTGGCGCTTCGCACGATCCGACCCTCGACCCTCGATCCCCCGACCGCCCCGGCGCGGCCGGGCCCACCCGCCGCCGCCGGCTGCGCGTACATCAGCCACGCTGAGAGCGACTGCTGGTGGCGCCGCGAGGGGCGTGTCGGCTGATTGCGGTCGCGCACTCTCGGCGAAAACAGAAATCATTCACACGCGTCGTTATGAAATTCTTGACTCGTGTTTAATTTCGGGCGCCACAAAACAAGAACTGCGCATTATCACTAAAGAGATGGTAGTTCTTATTCATAGACAAAATCTCGTCGTAACAATCAATAATAAAATAACTCTTAAATTTGCTTATATCGTCAAGAATAATTTGTCACGAAGTGAGAAAAATACCATAAATTTGGCATTTTAAAGAACTTTAATTGTATCACGTACAATTATATTGTCCAAAAGTAATATTGTTTATGTGCACATTATCTTTTCTCTCCAGAGCAGTCGTTGAGTATTGTCACAGTAATAGTAAAGTATTTGTGTTTTCCTAAAAAATAATTACGACCATATTTCTACGTTTCTAAGCATTTTGATTTTCGCAAGCATTTTTGCTCTGGACGAGTGGACCGGGTGTCGGACTGCGCGGTGCCGATTCGAAGCCGCGCGTCGCGATATGTCGCAAGTGCCACCGGCGCTACTAGAAAGCGGCGCTAATGCAGCCGATTCTCTGCAGTTTCTCTCTGGCGACAGCGCCCCGGCTCGGCGGCCACCGACGGCGGTCGGCGGGGCAACGGCAGCCGGGGGCGGCGAGGGTCTCACCTCTGCCTCACCCGTGATGGATACACGTCGTGGATAATCTCGTGTGATGAGATGACGTTCTCCGGCGCTTTCGGTGTCGTGTTTTATAAAATGTTGAATATCGGGACGTGTGATGGGGGTGATCGTGTATAATTAACAGTAACTAGAGTGCTAAGTTTAGAATTTCAGACATGTACGCTACAAGGTCACCTGAGGACTGGGCGAACTTTGATGAGAAAATATTCTAATTTATTCCAATCCTTTGAGTCTAAAGAAACAAAAAAACTGAACATTTCTTCTTACGCTTATTAAAAATTGTGATTTACTTTATAGAATTACTGGACATTTTCTTCCTCTATAATGAGAATTTCATAAAATAATAAGATAAAAGACCTCCCGATTTTAGATAGGATTCATAGGTTTGTTAATGCAAGTTTTTGACACTGGAATATCAAAAGATTTTCGATTTTCTTTTCATTGGATTTCAGATTTATTAAATTTTGCTCCTGTAAATCAGCAACAGCATGCTGAAAACAGAGGACACTGATTTTTGGAAAGGAATGCAACGGCGAACAAAAAGTTGTGGCAAAACGTATGTTTCGTGAAATACTGCCACTGACGAGGACACTTCACTGCGAAAGGGTCTTCTGGCAAATTCGACAAAAAATGCTTTCACTGCGGGTAATACGACTGCCACCAGCCGGGCGCACGGGTTTGTCTGCACTCAGGTTTAGTCGTTGGGATGAGAGAGGGAGTCACCCGCACCTATTCACCGAAATCGCATACATACTAATTGAGCAATTTTTGATGCTTTTAAAAAAATAAGGCTATAACGTAACCGAAAACAATGAAGAGCGAACAACAAAGCGGGCGCAGGGCTGGCGGGTGCCTGTTGTTTTGTGCTGCCGCGATGCAACGGGGTCGGCGGCGGCGGTGGCGGCGGCGCTTTGGCGTAGGCGGGTATTGTAGAGCGCGCTGGCGGGCACCAGCGGGCGACGGGCGGCCGGCAGGGACGGGCATGTTTTGTTGTTTGCTGTTCCGCTCGGTGCGAGGTTTGTAAATTTCAAGCGTCATTGCTTTCCTTCCTCCCCCTCGCCCTTGCGCGTCACTCCGTCTCTTTCCCGCCCCCCTCACCCTCCCTCACCCGCCCTCTCCGCCTCCTCGCGGCTTCGCCATAAAACACGCCCACCCATATTTTCCCAATGACTCCTAATTACGTATGCCAAAAATTAACCAATATCATTAATATCGTAATAATGCTAATACCCTCCGCTGGAAACTGCTTCCTGTAAAACGTTTCCGGACCCTCTTCACAAATTTAGTCCCCCACCCTCGCCTTCCTTTTCAGAATTGTTGCTTTCCGTTAATTTGTTTTGTTAGCGCATTTATTAGTATCTCATTATTGCAGTTTACGCGAAAACCTAAAAACAATGCTTCAACCTATTTATATGCGGCAACTATTCTAATTTGACAACAAAGTGCCCTCGCGGGTTGCCAAACATAAATCGTTCAACTGTCACAGCGTCCGCCCGCAGCCGTCACCAGAGTGCAGGGCTGTCGCGCGTCCCCGCGGGCGAGGCGAGGCGCGGCGCCCCCTGGCTGTCCCTCGAGGACCTGGTTGGGCCGCAGGACGCGCCCTCGGCCTCGACGCCACAGGGGCCGACAGGGGCCAACTTCGTCCGGAGAATTCAGGGGGCGTTCATTAGATGCGCGTGCCCCGCCCCCTGTGATTCGCGGCGAATTTTCATTCTCAATACAGGACGGGGTGGAGGCGCGCTGTTGTTTAGGCGACTTGCTGACCGTCTACCATAGATAACTGATTTCGAAGTTGTTCTGCACTTTTGTGGTGAACGCTGGAGCTACACCGCGAAAAAGGGCCTCTCCTCAAGCGCAAGAGAAACTATCACTCAGCAGGCGACGCGTTGACATCACAATGCAGAATATTTTCAATCAGTGGATAAACTTTACTTTTGGAGAGAAATTTGTTAGGGCTTGGATATTCCAAAGGAATAAATATGATCTAATGAAAATTGCATAAAATTCTCTGTGTAACACTTTTATAGTAAGGAATATAACTCAAACGAAAAATTAAGGTGACACATATACGAGTACAATATTCATTTTTATTGTCTACTAGTGAATAAAGAAACTACTGAACTTTAATAATAAAATAATAACTAGTTCTCTGCAATGAAATGAAATATCGTTTTTCACAAAATGCCAGACAAGCAGGCCCTCCTCTTAAACGTTCCGGCGGCAGCGTGTTTAACGCGCTGTATGCTAATCCGACAGTGGCGCGCTCTGCCCATTCCCGCCATCAATAGCGGGCGCCGCAATAGATCTGGTTCTCCGCACTCATAGTTGCCAGTACAACGAATGGGTGTCCAATACAATTATTTCGGGAATTAACAATGTAATAAACAGTACATTACACGATATTCAATGTGTGTGTTTTGAACACAATGTGCGCTGGTGCTAACAGAATCACTGTATCGGAACCCTATTGAACCTTCGATTCCTAGTTCGCCGGACGCTGGAATGCCAATGGGATGAGACGGTTTTGTTCTTTCTTCGTCAAGTGTGGATTCGTTGCCGAGTGCAAATTGTTGTCTTTAAATTTACTGTTTTTGTTCTTTGTAAAGCAGCTCTGCAACAGTAATATTAATTTGCGTCAGGTCAGCATGGAATAGTTATCGACGAGAGGTTTTCACTTATAATTTTGTTGTTCAAATCATACATTAATTTCACACGACACTGGTAAACATAAAAAAGAAAATGAAACTTATCATTATCGCAGTTATAATATTTTGTATTTAAACGATGTTCCTCGATATCCCCACTCGTATTTTTGACTAATTTCGAGCCCACTTCAAAGTGTGGTTATAATTTTCTTTCGTAGGAGTTTCATATTAATCTACTCTTATCATGAATTTTTTGTTTGATATGTGATCTTTAACCGATATTTTTATCTCTTTTCGTTTAAATTTCCACTTTAAACTTCCTTTAAGATCTTTCAGAAATGTTTATACATTTCTTTAATATTATAATTGTAATTACAATAAATCGATGACTTAGAACCTGACTGCTCTAAGTCCATTTTACTAATTTTTTTAAGGA